CCTCTTTTCTAAATAATTACCAAAATTTCTAAAAAGGTTTCATAAATGTTGGTACGTTTGTTAATAAACTCTGTATTATTATTAATTAACGAACGAAATGAATACTTACAGGTATTATTGCTCTGCAATAAAAAAAATTACTTGATAACGACAAATTAATGGTAATGCTGTAGAAAGCGATTAAAAATTACACATGCGTAATGAAACAGAGACTGATACACGAAATATGGCACTACAATATTATAACATTATGTCGTCTATGATATTGAAGTAAAAATATGGTAATTATTTACAATAGTGAATTTTTCGTTGATTTAATTGTGTTTTTTTTTCTATATTTTAAGGAGCATATTCCTGGAAACTCAGACACAGAACAAAAGCGTCTCCTCGTATTGGGGTTTCGAGATATTATTGGAATAAATTGATGTAGAAATGGATGACTGACTTGATGTAAAAGTATGGTAATTATTTACAATAGTGTATTTTTCGTTGATTTGATTGTTTCTTTTTCTATATTTTAAGGAGCATATTCCTGGGTATTCCGAGACAAAACAAAAGTGTTTCTCGTATTGAGGTTTCAAGATATTAGTGGAATAAATTGGCGCAGAAATGGAAGACTGTCTAATCACTCGATTAGTGAGCAATAACTTGATTTGAATAACTAATTCGAGTCGAGTCTCAGACATCTCTGAAGAATCAAACAATTTGAAAAAGTGGAGTAGTTCGAGTGTAACGATTCAAACGATTTAGAACAACCAAGGTCTCTTTAACACTAGAACTACCAAAGTGGTCAAAATTACCTATTAGTAGTTTCTAATAAAAATTGTAAAAGAGTTATTCAACTGGATTTTTGAAAATTTATCGTAGTTCTTTATAAGAAAATGAATAAACATTTATTTCCATTGCATTATACGTTTCTTCAAGTACATATCGCTTTAATTTCTTTTGGTGCAAATAAATACACTATAATTGTTGGTAGTTCTAGTGTTAATAATAAAATAGAGCCTTTTTTATAGCCTGATTTCGGACAAAATCACTAAACTAAACTTTTACCGTTTCTCACATATAAAGTAAAATAATAAAAATTAATGCTAACACATTGTATAGGGGTACGAGAAATTATTTTTTTTATACTAGTAATTTGCGGGTCACATAAAATTACGTTTTTTTTGTATATTCTTTTGCACATTTTGTGCACCCTGCACGCAACGTAATATTTCAATTTTTTCTGAAATATTTTAGTAAAACCATTTCTTAAAATATTTTAACACTTTACCGACCGATAGCCTATTAATCGACTGTTTTACCGGCCAACGCTTACCGACCGATAGCCTATTAATCAACTGTTTTATCGGTCGACGTTTACCGACCGATAGCCGATTAATCAACCGCTAACGGTCGGTAAAGTGTTAATTAAGGCTATTTTAGTGAACAGTACACTCAACTCATGTATTATTTTTCTCTTTTTTTGTTCAGATTGGCCCCGGACAGCAGACAATTCGATGCTTGGCGCGAGCGCAACTTTTTCAGTTCTAATAGATTAGTAAGGATATCTTTAGAAATAAATCTCAGCGATATTTATCAACGATAAGTCGAGTAGAGTAATTCTATGTTTTCTATTACTCTATACAGGGTGTTCGGCCACCCCTGGGGAAAATTATAATAGGAGATTCTAGGAACCAAAATAAGATGAGAATTAAGAATACTAATTTGTTGATGGAGGCTTCGTTAAAAAGTTAGTAACGTTTACAGTTCCGCTTGTACTGAATTTTTTTCCAGAAAGTGGGTGAAATTTCGAGGGTAGGTCTATCCACCAAAAATTATCGTAATTGACCCCCGAAACCGAAAATAATTTTTCTAAAACGATTTGAAATTTTTTAATCTCGTCGAAATATTTCACGCCTCGAATTTTTTTCTCGAAAGTGGGTAGGATTTCGAGGTTATGTCTATTCACCAAAAATTATCGTAATTGACCCCCGAAATCGAAAATAATTTTTCTAAAACGATTTGAAATTTTTTAATCTCGTCGAAATATTTCACGCCTCGAATTTTTTTCTCGAAAGTGGGTAGGATTTCGAGGTTATGTCTATTCACCAAAAATTATCGTAATTGTTCCCCGAAACCGAAAATAATTTTTCTAAAACGATTTGAAATTTTTTAATCTCGTCGAAAAATTTCACGCCTCGAATTTTTTTCTCGAAAGTGGGTAGGATTTCGAGGGTATGTCTATTCACCAAAAATGCTTGTAATTAACCCCTGTAACTAAATATAATTTTTTCAGAATGATTTAAAATTTTTAGTTTAATTTTTTAATAACTTTTTAACGAAGCCTCGGTTAAAAAATTGATATTCTTGATTTTCGTCTTATTTTGGCCCATGGAATCTCCCATTAAAATTTTTCCTAGGGGTAGCCAAACACCCTGTGTAGGAAAATTTCAATGGGTGACAGCGAATTAACGAGAAAAGAATTGGGCGCGGTTGGTCAAGGACCGAAAGAATCGTGACAAGGTGACGGTGCGTGCAAAGCAGGTCAAGGAAAGAGAAACGCGAAGCAAAAAATTGCGAAAAAGGGAAAAGCAGACTAGGTTACAGGATTGTTGAGTCTCCCAATTTATGGTCGTTTAGAGTCGCGGTAAACGTAGCTTCTTTCGTTCTTGAGAACGTTAGTATCAGTCTCAGGGCTATTAAGACATTTAACACTAGAACTACCGGCAATTACAGTGTATGTAATTGTACCAAATGAATTGAAACGATAGATGCGTGAAAAAATGTACAATGCAATGGAAATATGCATTTCGTTCATTCTCTTATAGAGAAATGGCAGTTTTTCAAAAACTCGGTCCAGTCAATTTTTTACAAGATTTATTGAAAATGACTAATGGGTCGTTTCGACTGCTTTGGTAGTTCTGTTGTTAAGTATTTTGGTAGTTCCATTGTTAACATTTTTTTCGTTGGAAGTCTTCGCGAAAATCGACTTCCGAAAATTCATAGAGTATGCGTGCAATGGAGTAACGTTTATACAGGGTGTTTCACGCAACTGGGACCAGGCAATAACTGTTAAAGGATGAAGTTTATAAAAATTTAGACAAACTTAAACAGTATCACAGAAGTGGAGGTGTTTCACCTCTATTTTTTTTTGGAACTTTACTGTTTTTATGCACCATCGAATGCATCTCTTTGTCCTTTTACAGAAACACCTTCGCATACAGGGTGTCTCACCCGATTTTGACATCTTGATTTTCTCGCTATTGTCACTCGTAACAAAAAATGTTTCAGCGGAGGCTCGAATGGTATCGAGTGGAGCATATTCTGATGTTATTAGTTTTTTTCGTGAGTGGACGCGTAAAGGTCATATAATGGTCAACTTTGTTTTTTTAAATGGAACGAGGTATTTTTTAATTCAGCTGGACAATCGTTATAAAAAAGTACTAACTATGTAACGTCGAAAAATCAGTAGTTCAGGAGATATTTCAATTTAAATAATTCTAAAACACCATTACTGTTGTACTAAGACGTTAGCGTTTATTTAGTAGTTACTATCCAAATAAAAACTAACTATACTTACAATTAAATAGCTTTTTTTATAGCATAAGGCTATTTCATAAGAATTTCATTGTATTTCATGTTAAGATACCACTATAGTCAATTTTTACTATCCAATTAAAAACCAACTATTCTTGTTTTTAAATAACTTTTTTTATATTGCTTAAGTAACGACAAGTGATGTAAATGGTCGTTACGTTGTACTATTCCTGTAAATAAACGCTAACGTCTTTGTACAACAGTAATGGTGTTTTAGAATTATTTAAATTGAAATATCCCCTGAACTACTAATTTCTCGACGTTACATAGTTAGCACTTTTTTATAACGATTGTCCAGCTGAATCGATCGATGTATTAAAAAATACCTCGTTCCATTTAAAAAAACAAAGTTGACCTTTATATGACCTTTACGCGTCCACTCACGAAAAAAACTAATAACATCAGAATATGCTCCACTCGATACCATTCGAGCCTCCGCTGAAACATTTTTTGTTACGAGTAACAATAGCGAGAAAATCAAGATGTCATAATCGGGTGAGACACCCTGTATATCAAAACCCGCATCGTCCATTTAAAGTTGTCTAATGAAACGTTCTATCTCTTATCGTTTAAAAGAGTTATAGCCCGACTCTGTTGTATGAAACACCTTGTGTATCAGCATAAATGGAAATAACGATTTACACTAGATTTACTAGAATTACTAGATTTAAATATTATTTGTTAACACTTTACCGACCGGTAGCGGTTGATTAATCGGCTATCGGTCGGTAAGCGTTGGTCGGTAAAAAAGTCGATTAATAGGCTATCGGTCGGTAATGTGTTAACAATTTATATTGAATTTCGTAAATGCAACGGTACGAATTTAACACTTTACCGACCGATAGCCTATTAATAGACTGTTTTACCGGCTAACGCTTACCGACTGATAGCCTATTAATCAACTGTTTTATCTTTCGGCGTTTACCGACCGATAGCCGATTAATCAACCGCTACCGGTCGGCAAAGTGTTAATATTTCGATTAAAAGAAAAATTTTGATAAAATGTCCGTAAATCTAGTGTTAATAGACAAACAAAGTCTTGAAGGGTAAATTGCGTTAGGTATACAGGGTGTTCGGCCACCTCTGGGCAAAATTTTAACGGACGATTCTAGATGCCAAAATAAGACGAAAATCAAGAATACCAAATTTTATGCAAATTCACATTTTTATTAATAGAATTAATGAAATCAGAGCTTTATAGAACTCTGTCTCAAGCCCTAAATATAATAATTCGTATCTTACATTAAGTATCTCTCATATTTTTGCATATTAAATGCATTCTGTAGTTTCTTGAGGATTAAAATTTCCCCTAAATGCATAAACATCCGCAGTCTAGTTGTTAGTTTATTTTGGCCCCTAGAATCTCCCATTAAAAAAGAAATCAACATAGTTTGTCATAAGAGTTCTCTAGTTCTTACCGCGTTTAATTCCGACTGAGTGAAACCGGACACCAGGAACAGAAAATTGTTGCAAAGGAACTGCGTCGTCGATGCTTCCTTGCACAGTATGTTTGAGACAAACTTTCCCCACGCGGAACGTGAACGCAATTCCGGGTAACCGAACGTCTCGCCGATCATCTACAAAGTGTACAATATAATTATTTCGCACGAAAGTGTCGTTGGAGAAGCGTCTCGGTGATTGAAATAGTCAGTTATATTGTTATATTGAAATTTAAACAAACGGTGATGGAGAATTGTTAACCGTTCTATCACGCTATATTGAAAAGCGCAATTGTACTTATTTTTAAGTGGAACTTATTGATTTGTTTATACTTATAAGCGAAGTAGAAATGTAATCGTAACTGTGTACGGCGTTGCGCAACGAGAACGACCCATGTGCAACTTACCACACCCATGTATGTTAATTTAGCCAGTTTCGTAATAGGGCCGCGTATGTTGCCAGTAAAAGCTACAGGTGCAAGGCCGATCATCAAGCTAATTTTTACATTGTACTCGGGCCTCTGCGACATCGTTATCCAAAACTGTGTCGTTCCTTGCGAGTGACCGACATAAAAAAGTCGTTTATGCTTGGTTCGATCGAGCACGTAATCGATCATCGCGGGCAGATCGTAAGCGCCTAGCTCGTCGTAACTGAAATATCCGTGCAAACCGTGAATAAGAAATTGTTCAAATTTCTAAACTAAATCTAGTACCTAAAGTCCCAAAAGCGGCCATCTGTCGTCGAGATCGAAGTATGATTTCTTGAGTATACGTTCCCTCTGCTATTTCCAAGCCATACGTCGTATTCTGCGTCGGCTAATATGTATCCTAAAAGTAACGGTATGAAATGGTTAATTTACATTTAAAAATTTAATTAAATTTACACGATACATGTACGTAAGGGTACGCATAAATACCTAACGCTCTTTCTGTTCCCGAGAGAACCCAGTCCGCAGAGCTACCCGATAAACCGTGTACCACTAAAACCGGATGCCTCACGCTCGTAGAATTTCCCGTGTAACTGTTCCGTCCGTGTGGAATCCGATGAATTTCCAAAATGTAACCGTCCTCCGTGACGACCTTATGGACCTCCGACGGGTACCCGTATTTTCTTATTAATTCGGACTGTTCCATAGAAACACAATACGGCTGTATAATTATTTTTGTATCTATGAACAATGTATCATGCGTATATGCGTATGTAACAACTTACTGTCGTAAGATCAACGTCTGGATTTCTAGCTTTAGTCAACGCTAGTATCGATACATTGTTCAAGCTTAAACAATGGAAGGCTATGAGGCTGTATACCAACAACATGATGTTGCATTGAAACTGAATCGGCGGTGATAAAAACGTTGGTGTTTTATAGGAGACGACCGCTGGGGAACGAACGATAAGTTGACTTATGGTTCGTGTTTCGTTTACTCCCTGTTCGCCGCCTTTAAATACACGCATTGCGTTGCTTAGTAAATGGAAAGTACGATACAGAGCCGAAATTTAACAAGCAGGATACAAAAAAGATAATTCGTATTGTTGAATACATACATTTTTGTCTTCTTGAGAACAAAATTAATTTGTTTAAATGATATATTAAGAACTCGAAATTTTTTATTTTAGATATTCTTATTTTACGTTTATTTAAATACTCGTGTATTTACTTACTTCAGTACGTGTTATATTAAGGTATTATTACACGTGTACTCGCAAATTATTTCACGTGTCTATGTTTACGTACACGTGTATTTCACGCGTATTTATTAATTTATTATGCATTCAAATCGCACGCGAAATCAACGCGTGCGCAGATCGCGATTTTTGATAACTGCGCAGTACCACTGGCGCCATAAATTTGCGAAGCGCCCGCATGCAGCAATTAATTCGCTCTCAGTTAAGCGAACGAACGCCAAGGGACACGATGCTGATGAATAACGTGTAGTTAAACAGTAATTGTGCGTGTATTCCTTTGAAAATAAGTTCCCATATTGTTAAAAAAAACGGTTAAATTGGTGTGAGTCCAAAACAATTATTCTATTTAAAACAGTGTTGGGCAAAATTCAATCTAATTAAAAAATGAATGAAAAATTGTATTTTGAATACTTACTTTTTACATTTACATTTAAAAAGTAACATTATTTCGCGTATCAGAACAACCTTATATCTAGATTAGTTTGAATAAAATAATACATAATTTGGACTTAAAAAAACGAAATTGTTTCTCTATATTAATATCGTTTGGGCCTAGCAGTTTTAAAGTAACAAATAACTACAAGCATTTGTTTTTAAGAAATTCAAGCCCAAATCTTGACACAAGAATTACAATGTAATTGACAAAAACATAATATTTTCATTAAACTTTTAGAAGAAATGTTATTTTCTATCCCATTATGCGCGAAAATAGTACACTACAATTCACTAAATTCAGTTTTCAAGAAAATAAAGTGTCATTATACTATATTTCAGTATACTCCAAAATATTTGCTACTTTTTCTTTGTTTTTTTTCCCTGCATTGTTTATATCGATTTTGAAATCGTAGCATAATAATTTCAGATCGATCCCGTTTGACTTTTAATTTGGCCCGACGTCATCGAATCTGTATGTTGCGGGTACCCGCATAACCTCAAACCACACTGATCTGATCCGCAACAAAGAGGTATAGCCTACTAAATGTTTCTCGATGTACAATGTAATAAAGCTTGTTTTTATCACACGTGAAAACTAAAAGCAAGAAAAAACAATTTTTTGAATACAAGAAAAAGTTACTAGGTTCGAAGCTGAAAACCGCAAAATTTCAACATTTTTTTATTTAAAAACGGGAACGAACCACGCTAAGATGCTTCGTGGATTTATCAAGTATCACCTCACAAATACCTCAAAAAAGTTTTTATCAAAAAATTAAAGATGCAACACGCGGCTTACTCTCATTGTTAGAATATTCAATTTTAATTTCGCGCCTTCTGTTATCACGCAATGCCGCTATGTGGCGCTATAATAGGTTTCCTTTTTACAGTTCTACCGAGTTATAAGTTTGATTTCTCTACGAAATTAAGTCCAATTACTAAACACTCATAAGTATTATTTTCCTCCGATTAAATAATTGACTCTTATAATAAATTTTCAAAGAATCTTTATAGAACAAAGCACTTCAACGTGGAGATAAAATGACACAAAATAATTTCTTCAAAGTTATGAAAGTTTTATATTTTGCTTTCTCATGATATCGTTCAAAGCGATTTTTACAATCTCACAAAACTACCAAAGGAGTTTTAATTACAACAATCATTCGTATTTATGTAATCGAAGTTGGTACATGTAATACGACGCACTAATATTAGTATTATTTTAATAATTATTTCGTAATGATGATGTTACTCTGTTAAAATAATTATTCGTAGAAATATATTTATTTAAAATGAGAAATATTTGAAAAACTTTACAGTATGACGGGGAATAGATACATATTTATATCATCGAGCATTAAAATGCTTAATTTAATTTACAGCTTGTTTCAGACGCAAGTCGAAAAGGCTTAGAAAATGACGATCAGGCTACAAGGGAAAGTTTAAATTCTTTTTTGCACAAGAAATCATTGTACTATGGATTCTATTTAGATAGATCCTGTACTTTTCAATTTCATTTCTCTTTTCTTTTCTTTTTATGTTTCTGTTTCTGCTTCTGCTTCTTCTGTTTTTCAATTTGCTTTTTCTTCTGTTCCTTTCGTAACTTTTTCTTCGATTTCGTTACCTCTTTCTCCAAGGATACATCAGAATCGTCAGAGCTGGAAGTACTAGAGGACAAAGACGATGACAATGATACGTGTGAACTAGCAGGCGTGGACTCGTTGGAATTTGAAACGCTCTCGCTGTTTTGTTCTATTACAGGTATTATCGTGGGCTTTGGGTGAGATTTTAAATGTTCCCTCAAATCGTCCGTGAGCCCGCCCAAACCGATAGACGTGAAAAAGTTTATAGCGAAACGAGTATTTTTCGGATCGTCTCTGGGAAACAATCCTTCGAACGCTTCTTGCAACGTAACATCTTTGACGCGTTGATTGAGCTTGGATAGTCCCATATACTCCGAAAGCTCTTGAAACAAGATTTTTATAAATATTCTGTTAGAACTTGTCGTGTCCTCTTCGGTCAATTTTATACAAGACAACACTTCCCACGATATAGAATCGGTGAACAGCAAATGGGCGAAAAACTTGGACACGTTACGTAGCTTATTTGTATCCAAACGATGAATCGTGTGATACGAATCACGAAAAATTTGCTCGAATGGCGTAACGTACATTTTATTGATGGCACAAAATCGACCAGCCAGAAGCCCAAAGAATTTCTCGTATGTTCTCATTTCTGCGCAACAGTCCAAAAACATGTGACAGAGTTCAGTTTCTTGGCCAGGTTTTAGCTGCATTTTCATCAATTTGTGTGCACATTCTTCAAAATCAAGCGACGAGTGTATCGTTAAATATATTGTCCTTCTAAGAGCAGTTAAGTTTGTTTCGGTGTTGTCTACGATCACATCTTCTTTTCCTTCTGCTGCAGCGGTGCTGCCATCTTCGTCCGAACTGTCATCCTCGTCGCCGTCTTCGCTTTCTGAACCACTGACATCCGAACCTAATATCTCTTTACTCAACTGCGTATATTTGTCCTCGTTGCTAACGTATTCTGCGTCGAACTTAAAAACGTTTAATATATCTTGAGAATCGGTTGCTTCGTCCAATGTAACTAAATGAGTAAACTGATTTTCTTCCTCGACGAGATCAAGTTCCTCTGGGACAGCTTCGTGATCTTTGAATCCATCCTTTCTCACTTGAAACATAACTTCTATCATATACTGTACCCTTTTATCTAATTGTCCTTCGTGTAATATATTTCTTAACATCTCGAATATGGCTTCGATACCTTTCCTAGACACTTCGGTTAATTTCATACCGCACTCTTTCAAAAATGCAATTGCTACCTCGATAGAATCGTCTGTCGGCGTTTCTACCAATAACGTTAAAATTTCTAAAGCTAAGATTTCATGCGCCACTCTTTGATTCACTAAATGTGCTATGAACGTTCCAGAAGATATACAGAGAGGTTTGTCGTTTCTTCTAAAACCACGTTTAAACTGTATTACGAGACGTTTTAGTATTAACTCACCGATATTGGGGAATTTAGAATTAATGATCGCAGCTAAGGCTGCGTAAACGGAAGTAAAGGTAGGCGATGCCGCTTGAGCTTGAATTATAGATCGAGTAAGCAAACCTCTACCCCTGACAATATTCTCTTTCAAAATCTCTCGAGTTATAAGTCCGATATTACTGACGTTCACTTTGTTAATATAACCGTGTATAGATTTCTTTAGAGCTTCCCACGCGATACGTTGATACGCAGCGCCTGATTTATCAGTAATTTCTGCTTGCATCATACGTAACTTTGCAGGTGGAATGTAAGCACCGCCAGTTTTAGAAGTTAATAACTCGACAGTTCGACTTTGTCTTTCTGCCTCGCGAGAAGCATTTTTTCCATCTTTTTTCTCCATTTCTCTGTCCATAACTTTATCTTTTTCGTATCTCCTTGTTTTTTCTTCTTCGTGTTCTCTTGTGGCTGTTACGTCTTGTCGTCTGTAAGATTGCGTCTCTCTATATGGTTCGTCGGAGTTATAATTTCTTCTATATCGATCGTTTCTTCTGCTACTTCTATCGTGGTAATGTCGATCTCGTGAACTGCGTCTATGATAGTCTCTGTCATACTCGGTTCTGTCTCTTCTAGAATGTGATCTTTTCATTTTTAATCTAGAATCCGAATGCAATAATATTTATAAGCCTTTAATCATTTGTACATTTCTTTTAATATACAGAAAAACAAAACTAAATTTTATAACATTAAAATTACGTATTACCTACAATTTATTCACAACTTTCCTACTTTTTTATGTGGAATAACCTCAAAAGATTATTCCTAACCAATTTCGACGAAAATGCATAAATTGATATTCAATTCTCGAAATATTACTTTTTCTCATTTAAGTAGTCGTTATGTTAAATTACAAATATTCTACAAATCATTTGATCGCACGAAAAGCACGACATTTACGCATAACGAGTAAGTACAATACTACAATGGGCAACAAACCACTGATCATTGATATACATAGTTACCAGATGGCGGGTTTTTCGATCATGCATACTATAGTACAGTGCGTTTAGTCAGAATAATAGCGAACTCCTGACGTTTATAAACCTTATGAGTTTCCTAATATGCAAAATTTATGTTGATAAAGTGTACATCTAAAGACACATTTTTAATATTTTTTATTTTTATTAATTCTAATAAAGTAACATTCTTCCACGAGAAGAAGGCACAGCGTGTTTACATCCCCACTCTTGGTGCTGTTCGCTGACTCACAGGTATTGGTCGAAAACGGTGACGAAGATCGATGACGGCCAATCAGCGGACTGCAGCAAGAGTGGGGATGTAAACACGCTGTGCCTTCTTCTCGTGAAGATAAATTCAAAATTTTCTCGAAATATTTTAATCAAAACGCTTTCTTCCATTTTAGAAATGATAAGATAAAATTGAGGGTACTCAATATACACGATGTCACGCACATTTCTGCTAGAATCTTATCGTATATTAAATTTGATACATTGGAAGAAATAGAATTGTCTAATGTAGATTACATGGAAATTACCATGAAAATCCAAGAGTTCTATTCGTCCGTTGAAAACAGGTTAATACATTAATATTTAACAAAAGTTAATGTAATGTAAATATTAGGTGTACAAATGAATAATCCAAATTATCTTAAGCAGTTATAAAATCAAGTTGAAAGTCAATAGATTTTCCCGCTCTTTTGCGGTCATATAGTGTTGACATATAGCTAGTTAAAACAAAAGATAGATTAGCGAAAGGCCCAACATAACCTTCAAAAGTATTCAATTCAGTAGTGTCGAAAATGGCAACAGATAGGGTGCATATCCGACACTGCATTCTTTACGAATTCCAACAAGGGAAAAATGCTGCAAGAGCATGCGAATCGATTTGTCCCTTTCTCGGTGAAGGTGTTGTATCGTACGATATGTGCGAATTTTAGTTTAAGCGGTTTAAAAGCGGTGATTTGAGTCTAATCGACAAACAACGCCCTGGAGGCCCTAGGAAATGCAACGACGACGATTTGTAACAACTGCTCGCTGAGAATGCGGCAGAAACGCAAAAAGAACTTGCAGAACAGTTAGGAGTAACCCAGTAAACGATTTCCAAACGCCTACGTCAGATGGGAAAGATCCAGAAAGAAGGAAAATGAGTTCCGCATGAACTCACTGCAACCAACAAATATCAACGAGTGGCAGCACGTCTTTCTCTTCTGAATAAGCAGCGTCAAAAGTCTTTCTTGTGGAAAATCATTACGGGTGATGAGAAGTGGATACTCTATGACAATCGAAATGCAGAAAGTCATGGGTAAATCCTGGTGAAGCATCAATATTGATTACAAAACCCAATCGCTTCGGAAAGAAGGTTCTCTGCATTTGGTGGGATACCAAGAGTGTAGTTTATTATGAGTTGTTGGAATCTGGTGAAATAGTTACTGCGGACTGCTACCAACGTCAGTTAATCTGCTTGAGCCAAGCATTGGAACAAAAATGTCCGTATACTGGCAAAGGAGAATGTCCAGTGAAATTGTTGCATGACAACGCCAGGCCACATATTGCTTCCCATACAAAAGACACCATAATGAGTCTTGGCTGGGACGTCTTGCAGCACCCGACGTATTCACCAGACATTGCTCCATCTGATTATCACCTGTTCCAGTCAATGCAACACGCCTTGTTCGATATGCACTTCCAATCAGTGGATGAGATCCGAATTCATCAGCTGCCTGAAAGATGGCTTAAAGTTATAGAAAGTAACAGCGAATACTTTGATCGAACAATTCGATTTACTTTCTTTTAAAATAAACATTGAATGTGGCTGAAAAAATTGGATTATTCATTTGTACACCTAATATATTTTTAAAGTTCTTGGTATAATTTTCTTATTTCCACGCGTAGGAGAAGATGCGAGACGATAAATGTCGGAGGTGTATATGGTTTGGAAGAACCAATAGATAGTTTTAAGAGGGTAGAAATTCTGAACGTTGAAACAGACGATAAAACAGATACGCCAAAGTTCGTGGATGTAAGATGCATAGACAATGGAGTAATTTTGACGAAGCTGAATGTTCGTGATCAAGTAGAATTATCGAAGAAAAAATTAAAAGAAATACAGTATAATTTCTTTAAAATTTAATGTTTATTTCAGGCATATAGATTGTTGCACATGCCGGAAGAATTTATGAAATATCCGGCGCAAACAGTAGAAGTATTTCTAGCTGGTGTAGTTCCACATGACGATGAATATCTTTGGAATCGTTATGCATTTGAGGCTGTCTATCAGTGGTTCAAAAGAAACGTAGATGAACGATCCTATGTCATTGCAACGGTAAATTGTTCATTTTGTATATTGTATTTTGTATAGTTAAGTCTTGCAAATAGAATATAAGATTAAATGTGTAGGTGAGCCTTCATCTGAAAAACATATTATGGGTGAACACGTTGGAAGTTGGAACAAAATTGATCGGATATAAAGATATCGTTGGTTCCTCTTTAAAAACAGACTTGTTGGAAAAGGATCATGCTATCGAAAATGACAAACATTTAAAACAGTTGTATCAACTTTGCAAAGAGGATGGTTTTTTGAAAATTAATGGGTGCGATTTAAATGTTTTACTGGACGAAGTCGAGTAAAAGACCAGAGGATCAGAAACGATGGAAGCTAATTTTAAAACTTTATTATTCTTAAAATCATTACGCGCAGTGATTTTAAGTGATTTAATTCGTTTATTAGTTTTTCTACTCTAATCGTTAGTTTTCTTTTTTTTTTGCAACTGTTGCATAGATTGACAATAAAATAAAAAGAAAGTTAATTTAATACAAAGACGTTTAAAATAATTGATACACATGATACTCGCAGATAAGTTGTATCGAATCAAAACGATATGAGATTGTTAGGATCTTGAGAAATTAAAGGCACCACGGTTTTTCGATCATGCATACTATGGTACAATGCGTTTAGTCAGAATAATAGCGAACTCTTGACGTTTATAAACCTTATGAGTTTCCTAATATGCAAAATTTATGTTGATAAAGTGTACATCTAAAGACACATTTTTAATATTTTTTATTTTTATTAATTCTAATAAGGTAACATTCTTCCACGAGAAGAAGGCACAGCGTGTTTACATCCCCACTCTTGGTGCTGTTCGCTGACTCACAGGTATTGGTCGAAAACGGTGACGAAGATCGGTGACGGCCAATCAGCGGACTGCAGCAAGAGTGGGGATGTAAACACGCTGTGCCTTCTTCTCGTGGAAGGTCGATAGCCTAACGTAGATTTTTTTTCCTTGCACATTGATAATATACGATTATTAATAACTGTTTCACGTTGCAGACTTATCCATCTATTATTCACAGGATGAAAAGAAATTGCTTATTTATATAAATTATTTATATTTTATTCTTTATTATATAAAATAATAAAGGATGAATAATTCTGAATAATTCGCTTATTTATATATATAGAAAAAAAAGTGTCAGACAAAAGTTGTTTGATTTCGAGAGATACATAAATGGATGCTAATTATAATTTTTCTGTAGGTGTATTGAAATTTAATACGATCCATTTAACGAAAAAGAAACGAATCGTTAGCAGTGTTTGCTAATTTTATTAATTCCACTATTAAACATCATCCTCGAAAAATAAATACGTGTAATTTTAGTAAATGCAATATTTAATCGTAGAAAACACGTTCTCGCTGTTATCTACAATTGCAACATTTACAATTTTGCCGACGAGCATGATTACTCCACTGACGACGCAATTCAGAAAAATTATTCAACCATCTGCAATCGGGCTTTGGCGGCTTGTTACTGTTCCACACCATTTCTTCCGCGCATTGGCAACATTCTGCGCACGCATTTATCACGCTGGTATCGGTAGAATGAAAACTGTTGCAGCCGTTACAAGTGAAACACCCTCCATCGTTTCGACATAAGTAAAAGTGAATTTGCGGATCCGATATCAAATATTTCTTCCTTTCGTTCGCTATATATCAAACATTCAATTATACGCAACATTTATGTCGTGAAAAAGAACAAGCAAAATTCTACTAAAATATGATATAAATGCAAGATTTATTTAAAGAATTTTTTATATTTACAAATCGCGAATGCGTAAAATAAAAATCTGGTCTTGAAAACAAATCATCGACATAGTCATTATTCACTATTAAACTAACCACAAACACCACTACAAGAAAGTGGTTCAGTTCCATCGGTTCTTTTGCAACAGGACATAATTTTTCACCAAATTTTAAAAGGAAATTTAATCTTTACACAGTAAATATACTGTCGTTTGAAAGTTAGTTCACATTTTTACAATTTATATTAACGTGATATTTCGATCAATTAGAAGAAATTGGAAAGGCGATAGGTACAAAGACTTTCGTCTGTCTTGTCGAAATGTTTTTTTATAGTGTTACTATGGCAGAATACCAAATTTACGAAGACTCGCTATTGGCAGCACTATCGTTTCGTAGTAACTCGTGTGATCTATTACTCCTCGGTTGTTTCGTGTCTCTCGAGTACCCAGGGACAAATCCCCTATAGAATCCCGGCCTCTCTCAACGGTTGGCATCGGCGCCAATCGCGCCATCTGCGGGAGTAACTAGGGAGTTACTTCATGCTCCCTACAAATTGTGGGATCATCGCGTGAAAAATCACCATGATCGAATGATCGTGAATGGAATGAACGTGATCGAATCACGAGTGATTCAAAAGTAGCAGTTTATAGCACTTATTACTACATTAACAATTATGTGTAATCAAACAGCGGATGTGGTTATAACTATATTTATTTCTACAACAATTAACAAAAGTAATGAACTCCTTCTACAAAACACGTGCCCGAATGGTCGCGATTTTAGCCGTTTGAAAACTGCATGGACGCTGGTGTGAAAAACAGTTCACCCCTTCGTCGGTAGTGGCGCGACAGCGTGTGCAGCGCCAAAGTTACGGACGCTGGCCACAAGTTCACCGAACTATTCACGCTATCTCTAGTAAGTTTCAACGATAAGATCGAGGGAAGGTCAATATTTATTTTTGCATCCTGACACTAAAATAGTACATACGTATCTCGATAAATAGCTTAAACAATTTACTACAAAGATAAGTCGCTCATAGAACAAATAAACTGTTGTACATTTCTACGTAATCGTTACCGCTATTGTTTACGAAGTTACGATTACGGCGTAAAGGTTATGTTATCGTGCAATTTTACAAAAACAAAAGAACGTTTAAAAAGACGCACGAAGGCTGAAGTACACAAATTGACTAGTTATTATAATGAGACCTGGAACGATGTTCGATAACCGTGAGATTGGAAAACGAATACGTCGATTGATCGATGGAAATTATTCGTATCGTAAGATTCTCGTATTGATAATCATTTGTGGGGGCTTATTGCTTTACTTCGGTCCACTTGTTGCACACTGGCTATTTTCTTCGACCGGAGAATCAGTGCAAGGTAATCGAACTCAACTTGAATACTTCAATATAAAGAAAATTTAATTGTTTCTTGTTACCTTCAGTCCGTAAAAGAATTGTGCATGTTGCTACGTATACGAAACATATTACGTGCAAACGTTTCGTCTTTCATTTGTTTTTGCAAATAAATTAATATTATATATAATATCTATATCATCTCGATACAAATGGGTAATGGCACTAATAGCAATTACGACTATCAAATTCTAATAATACTTTTTTCAAATCCAAGAACGGAAGCATTCTTCGAATTTTTTAATTCCTTGACGACCGCATTTGCGTCTTGTACAACGTACAAGGCGATAAAATTAAAGATTTGTAACTTTTTAACTGGATAGATATTCGTTGATAATAATAGGTTTGAAGAGATTTGCGATCTAAAGATTTTGTCAGTTTTAGCCACAGCTTCCGGAAAGAAATTTGGGTTATCGATAAATCGGTTACAATTTAGAAGTAGTTTTATTCTGTAAGGAAACGAAACAAAATCCCGAAACTGATTGCGTAGTATGTGCCAGAAAGGACGGAAGAATAGATATGAGATATCGCTACAAAGACTATGACATGGAACCGTGGATAGACGATCGTTTTAATCTATTTGTTAAAAATTTAATTTACGAGGTAAGTCGTTTGCCTTTGTCCATATAAAAAAGTTTCCATTTCACATTCCTGGTCGTCAAGGAGTTAAATAATAAGATATATCCTTTCCTTTACAGTGTTATGAGAGACAATAACTATTTATCTAAGAATCTGCTACAACATGGGTCATAAGCATCTATTTCGCTTGACAGTCTACATAGAAACATTACTTTTCGATAACAAATTTCTAATAAAGGAATATATATAGTGCGCAGTAATTTCAATGTATCCCTTTGATCCAACACTGTGTTTAGATTTGCATTACTCGCTAAAATTCGTGACCAATATCGTTAATGTTAGCAACTTTTATTAAGTTACAAATAATTTGAAAATTTAACAAGTGTCATGGCGGTGTGTGTAAAATCATATATTTTTTTATAGCATTCGAAGATTATTGTATGAACGAAAGACTGGCTCCATTTCGTTTAGACGCAGAAGAATATAATGTCAACATCCTTCACAATCCACAGAAGGAAAATGAACATAATTATTTACCGTATATTGGTAACGGAGTTTTCGGAATTCCAATTTTACCTGAATCTGGTATATATATAAAACGAGGACGAGCATTATCGTTGCCAGTTCCATGGCAGCCATTCATTTCTCACTCGTTGCCCAAAAGTAACTCCCATCGAGAAGCTACGGTTACAGATTTTACAAATGGGGTCGTTTACCACTATCAGTGTCTGAGAGAAAGATATTATATAGAATTTCAGTATTACGCTCATAGAGTATTCGATGCGATAGCAGTGCAAGATATAAAGATAGTTAATCCATTCTCATTTTCGCAAAATGTACCGTTGAAACATCAGATGCCTACGCACTGGAGCAATTCCCACTTGGAATCGATCAAGTAATGAATAACATTGATACGTAGCTCAGTGCCCTTTAAATTTAATATGATCTATACTTATATGTTTAGAATGCCAGTAGATGATTTTATACAAGAGTACAACTTGATCAGTGGATTTGTTCCGTTACCTGATTCGAATAAGATTGTAACTGTTTCGATGCTTTACAAGGTTCCGCCAAGGGTAGTGCAGGTTAAAGCAAGGAGTACCGTAAAATTAAAATTCATGATTAGTGTACAATACAGCGAACCTATTACCATGGAAGAGTATCACGTTCATTATGAAATAACGAAAAAAAAAGCCATCGAGGTGCGTATAAATCAGATGAAAAAAACGAAACATTATTTTGATTCGACGTGGCTCGTTACAGGCAATGAAAAAAATAACTAGAGTTACACAACGAAATTTGAAGAACGACCATGCCAATCTGTGGCAAAGTTACTGGTACACGAGCCTTAGTATAAGCGATTCCAAAGCCGATAGCGTTATTAATGGTCATAAAATAAATTCCACGATGTACTATGTGTTATCGCAAATTTCAAAGGGCGTTCCGGACGTGGAGAAAAATGTAGCCATGAACGAAGGTTGTTATCGCGGACATCATACTTTGTAAGCGACAAAATTTTTTGCACGTATCTGTTAATAGAATTTTTTTATGCCGTATTCTATTTCAGGGACGCGCCGCGTTTGTGGAAAGATACGTCCACGGTTTCCGGTATGAATAGCGTGGTCGAGGCATGGTTAATAACGCTGGAGAAACAAGGTTGCCATCATTTAATGACCGGTGACCCATCGGCGGTGCAACAGGCTATTGTTCTGAGCCTCGGTGGCCTACGTTTCAGCAATCAGCATCTCGAATTCAACATCGATCCGCAATATCTTCATCGAGACTACTTATTTAGGTATTTAGTTTCATAAAAGGTATTGCAAATATATTCGATTTGCTCCTGGTCCTCGTATAGAAGATCGTTACGGATTTCGTTGCATCAAATGTTCCTATTTGTGTTGGTAATTTATACAGAAGTTAGCCATGCGTTCCTTTTTTTTTTTTTTTTCTTTTGCAGAAGAATAAGTTACGGTAACGTGACTCATGTAAATATATCGGTAACGGTTGGGGAAGACAATCGTGCAGTTTTGGGCGTAGCTTTGGACAAAAGCGACAGTGTTTATTTCGGCTGTGATGCTGGCTGTTTGGACGCGCCTGTTTCCTTGAGTCAATCGTACACAAATTTTCCAGTGAAATTAACGAAACCGTTAACGGCCATATTATACATAACGTCTGATCATCAGCATATGCAAGACCTGCGAAATGCGTTACACGTACACGCGGTGCACGACGGTTGGTACAAACATGATGAATATTTTTTAATAAAAAACAATATACCGGATCGTTTTTTAACAGCTCCAGCGCACGATCATCTTGTAATGGCTTTACATAAACATGGACATCAGCTTGGAGGATTGCCAACACTTTTTTGGATTAGCATATGTTTTCTTATAATCGTGTTCCATTTGTTCCTTTGTAAGCTTATTATTAACGAATATTATAACCCTCAAGAGAAACAGAAAGTAAGATACAGCAAACTATGATTATTTTATGCGATCGTTATATTGTGTAGTTATATATGTATGTATACGTATACGTGTATGTGTGCATATATAACCATATTTATGTACAATAAACTCTTTATATTAGTATATCTTATGATACGAAACATTTAAAAATCTTCTGTCTAGATCGCAACTATAGAGTATGTGGCGATAGCGTAGGGGCATTTGTAAGGTTGGCAGCGCGAGTGGCGCCAGCTGGTGGTAATAGGCTGAAGACATGAGACAGAGAACCAGCGCCATCTCCGTATCCCGGACCGGGAATACACGAATTTATTTAATTAGTTTAGTTCTCGTTTTGTCGCTTGCTTGATTGTTTCCCTGTTAAATTCTATATCTATATACGTATATAATTTTTTGTTGAGCTCTCTATTCTTATTTCCTATTTCCCTATTATCATTTTATCTGTGCTAGTGATTTCTGCATTTTCTATCTTGGACATGGTTTGGTCTTTTCCGATTTTAAGACAAAAGTTTATTTGTTTGTTCACTTTGAGTTTCTGCCTTTGTACAGTATACAGTATGTATATCACTTCCACCTGAACAGTGATCTACATGATCTAAGTATATTCTGTCTCAATCTACAGTCGAAGTTTTCGTCTAGTACAATCGATTTCCTAACTAGTAATTTGTAGGGGACACTAGAGACATCTCCCTAGCGCCCAGGGGGAAATCCCTAGATGGAGTTGGGGTGGCAACCGTGTACGGCGTCACGCCACGACAGTCGGAATAAAGCTCTGAGACAAGGAACACGTGTCGTACTGGTATTCCCGTTTATCCCTACGCATCCCTATAAATTCTTTTAGGTTATGATGGTCCTTGTGGTGACAGAGTGTAAGTCCCTAGCCTGTTTTCTGTATAGTTTATGAACGCTCTATGTTCATGATGTAGTTACCATAGATTGGCGATGTGGCGGCACCGTCGCAGGCGTAGCAAGCGCCATCTAGTTAAGTCCCTAGTTTTAGTTAGTTTAAGTAAGATCTAAGTCACTAGTTGGTAGTATTGAATTTAAATTGGCGCACCCCCTTTTTCTTGACCCAGGGATTTTTAAGGATTTTTAGGGGCCAGTTCTGTTCGACGCCTACGCAAAGCTAGATGTAAGGAAGCAGAAGTGCTTAAATAGTCTTTTTTAATACAACAACAGAATTGAATTTTATACACCACACGCTGTAGTCGAACAGAACTGACCCCTAAAAATCCTTGGACCAAGAAAAAGGGGGTGCGCCAACTTCGATCTAATATTACCAACTAGTGACTCAGATCTTACTTAAAGTAACTAGAAACTAACTAAAACTAGGGACTTAACTAGATGGCGCTTGCTACGCCTATGACGTTAGCCGCCACAAGCGTGTGGTGGTTTGTATTGTCATTGTCTCCCCAGGAGGAATAAATATGCAAACTATTGCACTGAATAAAACTCGTTATTTTTCCGTGGTACACGTCTTTTACTAACGACTTTTACTTGTCCTAAAATCCCTAACCTATGAGTAGAAACTAACTAACCTAACTTAACCTAGTTGACATAAGATGGCGCGTCGAACGCCGGCAACAATGGTCGCTGGTCGCTACAAGCGTGTAGCGGTATACCCGAGGTATAAGAACAGTAATCTCCACGTGTTTCATTTTTTCTGTAGGCTTTTATTCTCCTTACATCTATTCTCTCGGGAGTACAACACCGAACAGAAAGAAATAAAGGAAAGACTGTTGTACCTAAAACTAACTTAACCTAGACGTACAACTACCTACTGCATTTATATCTAATGCCAACCTTAGGAAAATATATATCTAGTTCTTAACCTAGTTACTTATTCTATAGGAGGGTACCGCTACAAGCGATGCGAGTGTTGCGCCATCTGTAGGAGACGATATATATTAGTCGCTGAAGAGACGCTTTCTTCTGTTTGGTGACTAACAGGTGTAACGCGTCACGATAATGAGCTGAAAAAGTCTGTAGGCGCTGGCCTACGTATATGGGCACAGGGTTGTACACAATAATTACACGTGGCTTAGCGGACGAGTGCTTTATTGGACCGTCTCTCAGGCTTGCTCGGGGAAGACCTCCCGATTCTCTCTTGTCTCTCGAGGCCCAGGGAGTACCTAGGGACAAATTCCCTATAGCATCCCGGCCTCTCTCAACGGTTGGCATCGGCGCCAATCGCGCCATCTGCGGGAGTAACTAGGGAGTTACTTCACGCACCCTACAAGTCTTTTAATAAACGTTGATATTGTTACGAACATTTAGTAATTTCCCTATATCGCCTACATTCTGAACCGATTGGATTTACAAATAAATTATACACCTGATTTTCAAACATGCATTATATTTTATTTTCACGTTTTATAGCGGCAGCATTGCACCATTGGAAAAATGAAAAAAACAGGCCAAATCATTTTGAACATGCAATTGGCATTTGAAACTATAAGCACAGATTATATTGAAAACTTAATAAATAATATGTCAGGACGTTTAGAGGCAGTAATTAGTGTTGGGAACCGAGTAAGAAACTCGTAGACTGTCTCTATATTAAAGATGTAGTATATTTTGTAATGGTTTCGAATATTCCTCGGTTGCAACTAGAATTCTACGATAATTACATAATAGCGTGTTATTGCAAAACTAGAAAGTAGTTTTTAAATTTAATGTTGGCGTTACAACATCGCTAACAATTAATGCCATAAAATTGATATGCATATAGCGTTTTATTATCGTCGATCAATAATAAACATTCTAAAATTATATTTATAATTACGTGATTATGTTTATAATTACGTTTTAATAGGTAATTTAAACATAGCACTTTCTAGAAATCACCTGCATCGTCTTGTTAGAAGAAAAATGATCTTTCAGTCCTAAATTTATATAATTTCTTTTTAATAGTTATTTCCGTATATCGAATAAGATTACCGAACGTGAAATTGAACGTAAAATACATACAGGGTGTTCGGCCACCCCTGGGAAAAATTTTAATGGAAGATTCTAGAGGCCAAAATAAGACGAAAATCAAGAATACCAATTTGTTGATGGAGGCTTTGTTAAAAAGTTATTAACGTTTAAAGTTCCGTCCATACTGAATTTTTTTCTCGAAAATGCGCAGGATTTCGGGGGTATGTGTATTCACCAAAAATGATTGTAATTGATCCCCGCATCCGAAAATAATTTTTCCAAACCGATTTGAAATTTTTTTTTTCGTCGAAAAATTTAGGCATCTAATTATTAGATTTTCGGTAAGGAATTTTTTTCTCGAAAATGCGTAGGATTTCGGGAGTATGTGTAATGACCAAAAATAATTGTAATTGACCCCCGCAACCGAAAATAATTTTTTAGAACGATTTGAAAAATTTTTTTTTCGCCGAAAAATTTCAACACCTATCCGATTTTTTTTCTCGAAAGTGGTTAGGATTTCGGAGGTATGTGTATTCACAAAAAATGATTGTAATTGACCCCCGCAAATGAAAATAATTTTTCCAGAACGATTTGAAATTTTTGAATTTAATTGTTAATAACTTTTTAACGAAGCCTCCGTCAACAAATTGGTATTCTTGATTTTCGTCTTATTTTGGCCTCTAGAACCACTCATTAAAATTTTTTCCAGGGGTAGCCGAACACCTTGTATAATAGTTTTTACGATTTTAATATTGTTTTTTATACGAAAAGAAAAAATGAATTTTTGCAACAGTCAGAATTGTTGATTCATTGTTCACCGTGTCGCAATAATATTTCGCGAACGAGAAGCAAGTTGTACGTACCTAGATAACATTTTATTTTAAAGGAAAGAAAATGTTGTATTATTGTTTGTTCGTTGCAGAAGGGAAAACATTTTCCCGTAAGAAACCATCGGTAGTCTGTTCAGGTATTGTCTTCCAAATATACGTTTTTCCAGTTGCATCTTATCATTATAAGAATCGGTCATCGTATGTGGAAATACAAACACTCCTTTTCTTCGTGCCAGTTTCTTTATTATTTTAGACCGCCCCGCTTACGACCACCATCTGCACGCATACCGACGTCTCCCCAGCCATTCGATATCTAAGAAAATCGACGATCCTCGAGTCGAACGGGTGTTGGCCACGCCAAAAGATGTCTTCTTTGGATCGAATTTCGTTTAAGGGAAAAACCGGAAAAGGGGCGACATTTAAAAGTTGCTCTTAACTCGAGACGAGTGCAAAATACCGAAGTATTTAGATAGATCCTTTCTCATTCTTGTTACACGTTATTACGCTCGAAAATTGTATACAGGGTGTTCGGACAACCCTGGGAAAAATTTTAATGGGAGATTCTAGAGGCCAAAATAAGACGAAAATCAAGAATACCAATTTGTTGACGAAAGCTTCGTTAAAAAGTTATTAACAATTAAATTAAAAAATTTCAAATAGTTCTAAAAAAAATTATTTTCTGTTGCGGTGGTCAATTACAATCATTTTTGGTGAAAACACATACCTCCGAAATCCTAACCACTTTCGAGAAAAATATTGGGAAGGTGCTGAAATTTTCGGCGAAAAAATAAATTTTTCAAATCGTTCTAAAAAAATTATTTTCAGTTGCAGGAGTCAATTACAATAATTTTTGATGAATAGACATACCCTCGAAATCCTACCCAGTTTCTAGAAAAAAATTCAGTACGGGCTGCACTTTAAACGTTAATAACTTTTTAACAAAGTGTATGAAAGTTGAATTTATGAAGTAATTATTGGTTTCAGACGGACAACGATCCGAAGCATACAGTTACTAACCTAACATATGTAAGCTTAACACATCACTTGTTATTTCTATCATACAAAAGGCATCAGTTTAACATAGATATTTCATTAATTGAATATTATAAAACATTTAGTATCGTAAAACATGCATATAGAAAGAAGTCTACTGTCCATTACATTATCAACAAAATTAAATAAGCAATGTTGATAATAAGCCCCGTTCTGGGCATCCAGAGTAGCTAAAAGGAAAAAAAGAAAAGTCAATTATATGATAAATCAAACGAGATCCGAAGCATAGGGTCAAAGAAAACAAAGAATGGATAGTGTATAATGTTCCACACATCTTGTCACATCCACCAAAAAATCTCAACTCAATCCTTATGGAACATTTATGGGACGAAGTAGGCAGACGATTAAAAAATACAATGTGCCGACTTTTCATTAAAACTTTCAATTATTTAATTTAAATAACTATGAAATATTTTGTTCAAATACTTTTGTGAGCCATTTCTGATACGTATTTACAATAAATACGTGTATTG